GCTGGGAGCGAGCGACTGGCCTACCGACCGACGTCGAGCTGTTATCGGGTTATGAACTTGTAGCAGATTCTGCCTGCGGCTAGAAGTGAAAAATCGTCCTGGAGAATCCGACGGAGTGAAATGGAAAAAGAGAAGACATTGAGAACTGGAGGCAGAGCCGCATGTGCGATGGTTCCACATGAGCGCTATGCTCCCACTCCAGCAGCGCAGCGGTCGACTATGTGGCGATGGCGTGGCCTTAGCTCTTGCCGACTACGTCGCAAGTAGCATTGGTGCATAGCAGCGAACTGCTAGCATTAGTACTGCTAGTAGAAGATAAAACCATTGTAAGTGTGAGGAAACTTCACCAGTAGCTTACGTTGTGTTTGGCTTGTCTTCTCTGGAAGTCTCTGTCTTCTTCTTGATAGGCCCAATAGTCGACGGCAGGGGCGAAGATGCCAGGATAGCGGGGGTAAGCGGAGAAATGGACATTAGAGCCTCTGGGTCAGAATCCGAGCGGGGTTGGTTGGAGTGATGCTGGCCGCGGTAGTTGTACCAGTCGTTGCTGCCATAGAAACAGCTATTCTATGTAACGGAAATGCTTTTTGCCTCTAGGATGTTGTTGCTTCTGTCGCCTAACTCTGTCGCATGCATCGTATCCGGTCTCGACGACCCCAATCTATCGCAGACGTCTGGTTTCTACCGATATAACAAAAACAAAAATAGAAAAATAACGAAGGATATGGGATGAACCGGCAAAGACGAATTAATTCTATGCAACAAATGCGCCCATCTACTCTCCCTCGTCTGCGGAATACTACTCTGTAATTATGTGTGTACGACATATATACGCACAAATGGCCTGCACAAGAAGCATTTGCGTGTGGTTTCCATTGTAGAACAATACCGGCGGCATTATGGCTCAAAATGTCTTTTGGTATAGATGCTTTTGAAATAATCTAAAGATCAAAACACGGTAATATTTCTTCACCGGGTTAAGTGGAAATCATCTAGCGAACAAAGCCACAAAATCTGACTCGGACCAGAAAACAATAATCCAATAGATACCTATTTTATCCTATTCGAATAATAGAAATATTTATCCTATTAGATTTAAGACCAAGCAGCGGCTGTTGGATACGTTGCAAGTTTTTTAATTGACCCTTTCTAACACTCAACAGGTATTTCTTCTATCTTTATAAATACACACCTATCTTTTGAAGCAGATGACAATCATACTGTTTGGTATGGCATTATTTCTTTAATGTCGTAGTATGCAAACTGAGGTGGATATTAGAGAACGGCAGTTAAGAGTGATCTGTTTCGATCTGCACAGAATCCAACGTCAAGATAGTTCATTATAGATAAATGCATGTTTATTCCAGAGGCAGTAGAGAAAATGACTGCCTTATGCACAATAGCTAGCCTTGTGCTGTCTTTTTGATTGACTTGGAGATGTGCTGACTATGTGTACTGTCAATTTCTGTTTTTCTTCCCAACGTTTCCCGAATAAAGTGGCATCACCTTGTCCATACCTATTCACTACAGCGCTCGCACAACACAGTTGCCTGTTTCAGCCGTTTGCTCGATGGAGTAGCATAGCGCCTTATTGTTTGTTCCTCGAACCTTCTGTGTCTAGAGATGTGACGCGTTGGTGGATGTATGGCCAATGGAAAGCGCGACGACGAATTGGGTGCTCCCAGCCTTCTGGTCAGAAGTGCTGTTTCAGCTCCTAATATAGCAGCAACGTCTGCCGTCAGTGACGTTCCAGATCCCCTGAAGTCGACTAGTCTCTTCACGTTCCACAGATAACAGGCAGACTTAGTAGCAGCAGTCATAATGTAGAGCAGAGTCCTTGTAGCGTTGGTTGTGACAGTAACTTAGCGAGAGTCGCGCAGCGGCCAGCGCCCCGTATTCCATAAACTTAGTGTGTGTGAAAAAGGTGATCCTGTGCAGCCTGACAAAGTGACAGTTCCAAACGAATAAGACTATCCGTCTTCTAGTGGAACGAATTGAGCGCGGCAACGACGCTATCCTCAAGCCAGGCTCGTAAATGCTTGAACGTGTTGAGCGAGGGATTTGAGAAGTAAAGATCGGAAGTGAAAGTGGAGGAAAATCTCTAGACGTCAAGAGTACGAGTCGTTCTTTGGTGAACGACCTGAAAATTGTTGAAGTCCCTTTTCAGACCCTGTTGTGCAAGTACCTGACGAGGTTCACCGACAATGAATGCGAAGCCAGGACATAAGACAGGAACTGTGATCGGTAGAAGCTGCGATCCGATGCATGTGATGTACTACATCCTGCATTTTTCGATATATGTGATAAGGCAGTCATTAATAATCGCATTTTTATGAACAGTCAACTACCGATGCTTGCGGTGCGTGACATTTGCATTAGAAAGCATGAATATTCATTAACGGTATAGGTCATAATGTTTAACCGAACAGAACGTTGAGAATATCCTTGATAAGTTAAAAATATGCACTAGAAGTTTTTTTTTTTATCATTCAAATGCGATTTCAATTGTTTAGAGGAAGAGCCTTACCGAGTAGAATATATACATTCAAGCGTTCATCAAAGCAACTGCATTGTATGATAATATCAATGATAACATTAAAAATTTCATTAACTGTCATTGAGCCTCTGCTGGCCGATAAGGTATTAGGTCGACGTGTGGCCTACCCGGAGCATTGATGTCTATATCACCGGCGTGGCCCTCAAATATGTTGCCATATAAATTGTATACGCGTGTATTATTTACTCCAAAACTAATTTACAATCAAGCCTTTCTCAAAAGCAGATTTTCCTCAAGCGGGTTCGTCCACTATAATCGCTAAAATTGAAGGCTGTAGGCCCCATATGAGTTGTATCATATATGTATAGCTTTCTATAACAGTTAGTCGCCAGCTGGCCGTTATCAGATAGAGTATGTGGTTCGTTATACCACTGCTCTGGTTAAAACGGTCAACAAGCACAATATGTAGTTAGCTTGACTTCTATTACGTTACGTGCGCATAGTTTTTGGGCTGGCAGTTTAAACGGTAATACAATTTTCAATGAAGGAACCTGTGAACAAGAACATATCCTTTTAAACGTCAAACGCGATGCAATCAAGAGCGAATAACAATGGAGCCACCTACCTGTTTAAAGTTATAACTTTTCAATACTCATAGTTATACCACTATTGTTGCGGCAAACGCAGCGGACGAAAACTTCCGCATAGTGGTGATTGTGGCTGTCTCATTGACTCAGCAAGACTTAATGCAAAGTCTCACACCCGACATGCATCTCTAACACACCATCTCAATGGGCTTGTTGAAGCATCTGGGTCCGTGTCATTGGTTACGCAATGCTGTAGGTGAACCGGGCTTTGGTGGGCAGCTCTTAATTTTATCAAGACCACGCGTCCTATATAACCTTCCCCTTCCTTGTACTCGTTTCTTCGTCATACCTTTTTCCGGCGAAATCGTCCTCCTGCAAAATAGCACCGCCTGCCTTTTTCTTTCTGGCTTGCTATCGCTGAGATGTCGTTCGCTAGAATTTCGCGCTACTTCTGCAGCTGGCGCAACCTGCTTCGATCTAGCGTTGTTCGACGCATTTGGTCGACACCTGCAAGCCAGACGTATTAGCTTACGAGCAGCCCCCTGCTTTAGCTCGTTCTTTCTTGACGGGACTCAGGCAACAGGCTGCTAAAATATTACGCTTCTCTTACCCTCTCTGCACGACTAGAGAGCCGGTGCAGCGCCGGACTACTCCGACGCTTCATCGTTTTTCTAAAGATACCGCAGGGCCCCGGGGCAGATACGCGTCTGCTAGGCCGGCGGAGCACCGATGTGCCGACCGATCTTCATTCCTACGTAGAATTAGGGTTTCCTATAAGCTGCTCCGAAACGGTAGCGAACATAAAAGAAGGAGTAAAAGAAAAAGTGCAAGACGAAGTGAACAGACAGGGGCACCACCATTTCTCTGTTTCTAGCTCCATCTTTTCTTTCCGTCCTTTGGACATCTTTCCATCCCATTTATTCAGGTGGCTACTCCGCTGCCTCTCGCCGGCTACTGCAGCTCCGATACAGAAAGGAGTCATTTATTTTCGATTCGTGGTTCGCCTTTCAACTTTAGATGGCGACGACGACGACTAGTATCGATTCTGTCTTGTGCGTACGCGGAGCCAATTCGCGTTCTCGAAAGCTTACATATCGGATGCTCTCTTGCTATCGGTTTCTGTCAGCACCCAATATTAAAAAATTTTGAAAACGATTAAGGAAGATAATAATTGGAAGGGTGCACAGAGTACAAGGAGGAAAGGTCAATGAGCTAAGCCTGCCATATTATACATGTATAAATAACTGTAATAACGTATAATAAATAAGACCAGATATCAAAAGTATACAAAGTCATTCTGTAGGAGCCTTGAATGATAGGATTGTCAGACTGTATTCGCTAAGTGCCTGTGAAAGGAGCACAAACATCGGTAACAATGTACGCATTGTCGAGCGTTGTGCATGTACATTCTGTGCAGGTAATTAACTAAGCGCCATTGTTGAGAATTAGACACTGATAATTATCCACTATTGCGTAATGTTTACGGTAAAGAGCCATAACATACATATTGAGTATCGCTGATACTAATGTAACGGCGGTCGGGTTCGAACATAATAACATCTTATTAATAAAGCAAACGTTTCGCATTGGACCCTTCTATTTCTATCTATCTAAGAACTATTCTAAATAGTACCAGTATTGGTTCTATAAAAACGTTTCATAGAATATTAAATTTAATATCCTCTAAAGATATTGAATTTGTGTAACTAGAACAATATAAGTAACTTCTTCTATTTCGCACTTTTCATTGTTCTCTCAATATCTGTATATGCTCTTTATTAATTATAGATAAACAAAAAATAATTGTGTTCTGATGAAGTGTCTTTAAAGGTACCACTCCGAGATCACTTCATATATATATATGTATATATAAAGCATATGGCAATTTACCCGCAGATGGCCATCTTTGGCGACTTCGGCCAAATTTACCCAAAATCATAAGTGATACAGGTGAGTATTTTGTGTTCCATTGCTCCGGAAGCCAGGAAGACGCAGACTGAAGACGACTGAGAAGCTGCGGAATCTGTCAATGGTTAGTAGCCATGTCAATGTGCGAGTCTAGCGAGGTAGCTGAAAATGAGTCGGCGTTTTACTGATCAGTCAAAAAAACGTTCAATTAAATATATCTGTGGTAGGTCAAAGGGTATGTTTACGTTATTTCCGTACTAATAAATACCATCCTACAACCGTAAATACTATTTTTTTCGCATTATTCTGTCGAACATCGATTATAGAAACACGTTCTACTTTAGATCCCCTAAGAAAAGACCTGTATCTTGGATAGAGTTAGAGCTCTTAGGGCCTTTTTGCTAGAATCGAAGGTAGATCTAAAGTGCACTTTCGGACTAAGTTTAACAAATTTTACCTTTGTCATGTTTGTGGTAACAGCATGTCTTGAAATCGATTAAGACCTTCCAAGGATACATCATTTAAGCTACATACCCTGGATAGAAGTGCTAAAACTATCTATATATCTAATATCTTTCAGTACAGGAAATTTTCCTTACTCTGTCTTGCCTACGTTTGGTTGTTCAGCTTTACTATTAAGCAGTACTCTTACAGTTAAATTGAATGCGTTTCATTAGCCATATACCAGGTGTTGCATAATATTTAATCGAAACGTCTCCTCCAGTATAAATAGCATTTTGTGAGTTTAGTGACATGCGAATGAAATATTTCATGTTTCTGCTAGATGAGGCCTTATGCACTGCACTGGTAAAACCATTTTCGGTTCGATGGAAGCCGGTTTTTCAGGCTAGTTTCGTATTTGCCGCCACTGCGACAATGAGAGGAGGAAAATATGAGGGGCAATTTATTCATACCCGGTGGAAAGATATAACTTTAAGATTTATAAGAGTTTCCTAAAGTGGGCGTGCGAAGGCTATCGGTTGCTCGTTTACTTGTCCATTACGATAACCACTGTTTGTATTTAGGTGCAGTCGATTATTATCGTTTTTCAATTTGTTGCTTTTAGACCCATTACAACGACAAATCTGCTCGAAATTTCACTAGCACTTTTGTATCCAAGTACATCTATAAGGCTCATTTTAAATGCATTCCAGCTCGGAACAAGCAATTTACCTGGCACAGCTATAGCTTGCAAGGATGTCTTTGCCTGAGTTTCATCCAAATGTACGTAACATGTCGCCAAAGTCCCAAAATCAGCTTAAACTCTTCAACTACTTGACTTGGAACTGTTACATGGAACGCAAGCGAACACCTCATCTTGTTGCGCGATGACGATCTCAGAAAATCCAATTAGTTGACTTACTTACGTAAAAGCGAAGTACTCAGATGTCAATCAAATTCACGGAGCTTTCCGTTCAGATCGTATTTATTCGTCGTCTGAATTAGGCTTTGGAAGGCAGCCGTTAGCCGCTATCAAGTTCGAACCAATTTGTCAAATTCCCAAATTTAGGTATACAAGATCTATGCCATACTAGAGACGTAGGCGTAATCAAAATTAAACTATTCTGATCTCTTTGCAGTACGTATTACCGCTGGCGATGTTTTTTCCGTCTAGCGGTAACAATAATTTATATTTTCCCAGCATTAGTCTAGAAGTCGATGAGAAATGTCTATGGGAAAGTCTTACATTAGGCAACGTACATTTTCTGAGAAATACCTTTGAATTTTCTTTGTCTAATCGAGTGGCGAGAAGAAGTTTACATGGAGCTTTGGCCTTCGTTGATACTGATTTATATGGGGTGGTCGAAGAAAAATTCACAGTTTATGTGGCTTTAAGGGCGCATATATTAGGTAGTATGAGGCGCGTTAGGTCGGTTGGTGCACTTGAAAGCTAAAATTTTGCTCCTATAGTAGACAGCAGATATGTTAAAATTGTTGGATTGCCTTTGTTCAGACTTAAGATGGAGCAATTTGAAGGTAGACGAAAAAATTTGTTATGTGATAAAGATACAAATACTGTCTAAGTCTACAAAAAATTAATGCTAGTTACTGACAAGATGCACTATCGGAAGAAATGGCTCAAAGATAATTCTGTAGCACTTGTTCTGAAAGCTTCTTCTAAGTAAAAGATGCTGTTGATAGCGATCGACCAATTACGGAAAACGTTGATAAAATAATTGCTAAAGATCGACACGTAAGTGGCCTTGGTATGAAATGTACGTCTGCTACCAAAAAAGTTGGCTACAGAAACAAGCTTGACGTATGGGTGCCACACGACTTCATGTAACTGAGATCTACGCGATCCGTCAGCGAAGTTCTACACAAACGCGCCGAAATCGAACCATTTATATAATAGCAGATCACGAGTAACCGTGTAAATGAAAAACCCACAATGTGTTACTAAGCTGAGATCAACGTCGAAGAATATATGGCGAGGTTTGAAGGGAATCGTACATTACGAGTCCCTGCCGCCCAACAAAATGATTGACTCGTACTTCTACTGTTAACAAGATCTTGAAAGAACCTAGTGACCAGAACTAGTAAGCGAACACATACCTGCCAAAAATTCGTATGAGAAAATTGAAATCGAAAAAAGAGCAAATGGTCTTTGCGCTATCAGACCATCAGCTATTTTCGTTTCTGCAAAACTTCCTTAACGGTTTTCATAGATTTTGAATGGAGGGAGGCAAAAATCACTTGCCATAGTTTTTCCTCCGGAAATCTAGTGATAGGGTTATAGCTTTATCAAAAAATGGCAAAAGGTCATCGATTAAAATGCCATATAATTAGCTTAGATATAATATATTCAGCTTTTTGGCCAATATTTCTTCGATGAGTCGACCTGGCGAACGCTGTCGGTGTTGCGTCTCTATATAAACGTATTAAGATCGGCCGTCCTCCTCAAACACGACGTTGCCACGCGGTTTGTTTACAGGTAGACTACAATGGATATGCATAAAGCGAATCGATTTCTATCGCTACTGTTAATAACAGACGTTATTAATTTGTTAATAATAGAATAAATATCACCAGAGACAACGTATACGCTAGACTGATTAGTCCTGTAAAAACATCCAAATATAAAATGTATCGGACTTCAGTGGACGTATTTTGGTACGTCTTCATAAAGGCAATAGCTTTTTCCTTATCCAACTTGTTGATTTTACTTTTAGGAATCTATATGACACCCGTTGGCTTAGGGTTATAGGGTCTCAGTTCTCGACTTTTGCACCCAAAAAGATAGCATATATAAGACTTCTGCTCAGAACGTCAGGTGATCAAAAAGTATTGACGTCAATGACTTTCGAACCGAACTTGAAACAAACACTTTTATATAGTTATTTTAAAATAATACATACACAATAAAACCGATACGTGCTGTTTTGCTCGATGACTTCCTGCTATTTGTAGTTTCTAAAACTCAATTAACACTTTCAGAGGAGTTCTGCAGGGGCCGAGATAGATAGAAGTCTGACAACGCAAGATGCGGGCTATACGGTAGATACATCGTAATTTTCCATCCAACTTCTCGCCATTTTGCCGGCTAGCTAAACGCATATGTCGTCCGGTATTACTATAGCTGAAGCTAACACATTTGGCTTTTACTAATTCTAGTCGATCTTCTTTAATGGGTCGTCCCAATTTTGATCATGGTTGACGTTAGGAGCCCAAATCATCGGTTTTGCCATACGATAGCAACTCATAATCGATAATTCTGATATAGCATTACTCTCATGTCAGTCTGGGTTTTATCCCAGACTATAAAAGGCATTTTTTTATTGTGTGATATTTGCATATTGTTAACGTATGTTGTCCACTCTTCATCATCCATAATCGATCTCTAGAAATAGCTTAGTTTCGTTGCTTTTTTTTTTTATCTAAAATTTTACAGATGCAAATAGGGTCGAGCAGCATCAGAATACGTCACTTCGTACGGCGCTAAACATAGCCAGCTGTTTTTAAGTGGTTTAAACCTGTTTGGTAAAAGATGTATACTTCATTAACGATGATATCATGGCTATCCACGTATCAGTCATAACCAGCTTAGATTTCGCGACTATTTAATGAACTTTCTCCATAACTGAGCGACTACCTATAACGACAAAAGTATCTTTAAGCTGTCTCTTTTGAAAGCACTTCCTGAGCGTAAACGAGACAATTTTTTATGAGTTTAAGCCATATTTTGTTTTCTGATAGTAATAAAATTGCAGGATTTTACAGAAATTTCAATACGCTGTAACATAAGTCTAAGTAAAGGCACTCCTAGAATTTTTACACGTTCACTGCTGCCATATATCAGCTTTCAAGTGCCTTCACATATCTCAGGTCGAGACGGTCTGGCCAGAAAAACCGCCAATACATTTTCAATCACCCAATATTATTGTATTACGTCAATGAATTAGACGGAACTGCGAAATGGAAGGGCATATAGAAAATTATCGATAGTTGAACATTACGTAGCGGTTCTGGCTGTTCTATATCTTTTCGCAGTTCCGTCCAGATTAGAGCGATTTTTTTCATTTGAAGGTTGAATGACAAACTACGTTTACTCATGTACGAAGCAGTGCCTCTTTGTTTGGTAACTGCTGCCACTAAGCAATCACTTACATTATGTTGTCACCTCGAAGTGTTATCCGCTATTATTGGAACGTCCAATTAGCAAATGCTACCCGCACTTAGTACAGCAGACGTACCCGTGTGAACTATCTCACTTCAGTGTTCCCTTCAGAATGTCTCTACCAGGACTTCATTACGGTACTGTCATCACTGAAGAATCGAGTATAAAAACTATATTTTCATCTTCGTCTTTTTATCGCTCCCTCGTGCATTGGTCAATTTCTATCTGGAAACAGAAGAGGCAATGGGCGACCGGAAGCGGGAGGAAGCACCGTAGTAAAGAGAAGAAAGCCTCTGGCAGCACGTGCTGCAACCATTAGCTCTCTTGTTTCACCTCCTTGTGCGACGGCTACTCCTGCGAAGAGGATTACTGACGCGCTGTACACTGCGCTAGCGGAGCGCTAAACGTGAACGGCTTCATTCTCAGATTCCACACTCTCATTTCTGTCCCCCGTTTTGCATCCTCCCTCTCTGTTTCGGTCTCTCCGCCTCGCTCATTCTATCTTT